CTTCATCTCTCCCAGCAAATGAATTGGGCAAGCGGGGGTAGGTCAGCCCTACTCGTAGTAGAAGCAGAAGTAGTAGTAGTAGTAGTAGTAGTAGTAGTAGTAGTAACAGAAGCCGTAGTAGTAGTAGTAGTAGTAGTAGTAGTAGTAGTAGCCGTAGTAGTAGTAGTAGTAGTAGTAGTAGTAGTAGTGGTAGTAGTAGTAGTAGTAGTAGTAGTAGTAGCAGTAGCAGCAGTAGTAGCAGCAGCAGTAGTAGTAGTAGTAGTAGTAGTAGTTGTTGTAGTAGTGGTAGTAGTGGTAGTATGAATTGTCGCCGTCGTAGTAGTAGTAGTAGTAGTAGTCGCAGTGGAAATAGTAGTGGTAGTAGTAGCCGTCGTCGTGGCAGTAGTAGTGGTAGTGGTAGTAGTAGTAGTAGTAGTAGTAGTAGTAGTAGTAGTAGTAGTAGTAGTAGTATTAGTAGTAGTAGTAGTAGTAGTAGTAGTAGTAGTATAGTAGTAGTAGTAGTAGCAGTAGTAGTAGTAGTAGTAGTAGTAGTAGTAGTGTAGTCAGTAGTAGTAGTAGTAGTAGTAGTAGTAGTAGTAGTAGTCGTAGTAGTAGTAGTAGTAGTAGTAGTAGTAGTATTATTAATAATAGTAGCGTTATCCCTTTGAGTGATAGCCGTAGTCGCAGTAGTAGCAGTAGTAGTAGTAGTAGTAGTAGTAGTAGTCGTAGTAGTAGTAGTAGTATAGTAGTAGTAGTAGTAGTTAGTAGTCGTAGTTGTGGTAGTAGTAGTAGTAGTAGTTAGTAGTAGTAGTAGTAGTCGTAGTCGTAGTAGTAGTAGTAGTAGTAGTAGTAGTAGTAGTAGTTAGTAGTAGCAGTAGTAGTAGTAGTAGTAGTAGAGTAGTAAGTAGTAGTAGTAGTAGTAGTAGTAGTAGTAGTAGTAGTAGTAGTAGTAGTTAGTAGTAGTAGTAGTAGTAGTAGTAGTAGTAGTAGTAGTACGTAGTGGTAGTAGTAGTAGTTAGTATAGTAAGTAGAAGTAGTAGTAGTAGTAGTAGTTTATAGTAGTAGTAGTAGTAGTAGTAGTAGTAGTAGTAGTAGTAGTAGTAGTAGTAGTAGTAGTAGTAGTAGTAGTAGTAGTAGTAGTAGTAGTAGTAGTAGTAGTAGTAGTAGTAGTAGTAGTAGTAGTAGTAGTAGTAGTAGTAGTAGTAATAGTAGTAGTAGTAGTAGTAGTAGTAGTAGTAGTAGTAGTAGGGGGCTGAAAACCGTAATTATGGGGGGTCTGAACACCGTTCGCGTTTATGGGTAACAATCGAGCGCCTAGGGGCAGAATTTGTATCCATATCCACTGCTCCCCGGGTTTCTCGGGAGGGGCGCCCGCAATTCCAGGCTGCAGTGGAGATGGATAAAAAGTCCTGCCCGCATGTTTGCCTCTCGGGAGCCTTTGAGGGCCCTGCCCAGGCCCCCAGAGGCCAAGAATCGGCATCTGCCGTACAGTCGGCCCTGATGAGTCGGTCGACCCTTCCAAGTCAAGGGTTCCCTCGTGTACCCTGTGCTTCGCGACCCATGCCTCCTGCATTCCTGTGGCAATGTATGTGGCCCTCGGAAGGGTCTTGTGCCCTCTGGCGTGTCTTGTCCAATCAAGTCCCACTGTAACCTTGCGCGCGCTGGCCTGCGGCTGCGGCCGGCAGCAGCCATCCGATGCCTCTTTCCCCTGCGGTCTGGGTCGTGGGGGCGCGGCACGAAGGCTGGATGGGGGCTGAGTCACGATGGAGCGACTGGGCCCCAGGGCTGCCAAGAACACACTCGGGACGAGAAGCGGGTCCCTGGAGATCAAGCAGGGGCGATGCGTCCTGACTCGCCTCGAGGTCCGCCGAAGACTGTTCTAAGAATTTTGTTGTGGTTTCCACGGCACGTTCGTAAAATATTTCTGGCGCGGCCCAGTTCTTTTTGATACATCGGTCTTGAACCATGTTTTTGGTATTCGCGTGCCCATGTCGTGAAAAGCAGTCATGGCGTCGTGGGTTTGGGTGGCCAAGTCATCAAACAGGGCGCGCAGTTTGGGCAGGCAACCAGTCAGTGGCAGAAAGCGGGGTGCAGCCTGTGGAATCCAGCCGGCGGGGCGCGGCTGCTGCTGTTCAGCGCGTGGAGCGCAATCAGCGGGATGCAATTTCGAGGATGTTGCCACCCATGTGGTGCAACATCTCTTTGGTGCAATGTTCCTGGTGCCGGGCCCCTGCCCGCCGAAAAGGTACACGACCGAAAAGGATGGACGACCGCAGATGTGCTCGAAGTTGTGGTCCCAAAACTTAAACTGGGAATCCATGCCAAGACACACCCTGCGCGTCTCCAGGGTGCCCTGGGTTTCTTGGGTTTCGGTGATTCTGCCATGGGAGGCGCGACGTTCCCACACCAAACCTCAATGAGGAGGAGGAGGAGGAGGAGGAGGAGGAGGAGGAGGAGGGAGGAGGGAGGAGGGAGGAGGAGGAGGAGGAGGAGAAGGAGGAGGAGGAGGAGGAGGAGGGACGTCCTGGGGTCTCAGGGTTGGGCGTCTCGTGGAAGGTCTCTTGGTGAGCGAGCTCCTGCTGCAGCGTGCCCGAGCTTGCGATCGAACCTGTAAATCGCTATGGTTCGGGCGAAGAGAACTATGCACATGCACCGATCCTGGCAAGGTCCATCCTTGACCCATGATCGGTGCATATGCCTTCTGGCCAAGGTAGGAGGGCGTATGCACCGATCCTGGGCTCAGGATGGGCCTGGCCAGAATCGGTGTATGTGCATAGTTCTCTTTCCTCTAATGGTTTCGAAGTGCGAATCTCGGTCACGCTCTGGCTCGCTCGGAAACCGTTTTGGCGCCGGTGTCGGTCCCACAGGGGCCTATGTTCGGGCACGTTTCGGGGTCCCTGCCTCTCCCCCCCCCCGATGGAAAGACGAGGCTGCGTGACACCTCGTGTGGGTCGCAAGTTCTTCGGGATGCAGCTCATGGGCTGCACTCTGCGGAGTGCGCAATTCGCAGGAGGCCAACGATACGGATCCACCTCCTTCCCCCCTCCTCCCCCCCTCCCCCGGTGGGGGGCAGAGCAGTCAGAGGGCAGGGGGAGCGGAAGTGGGAGAGGGAGGTGGACCCGTGCAGACGCTCGACTTCCCAGGAACGTGTGGTGCCGAGCGTGGGGTTGCCGCCTGTGGGCGGGGCCCTCCCAGCCGGACCCCCTCGAGGACCCCCCGTCGGCGGGGCCCCCTCCCGGCGGGGGCCCCCGTCGGCGGGGCCCCGTGCGGCGGGCTCCTCTTGGTCGGGGCCCGTGGGCCCCCCTGGGCGTCTCAGGGTTGGGTTTCTCGCGGAAGGTTTCTCGTGGTCGAGCGCCCATTGCAGGGTGAGAGGAGAAGGGGCGGGAGGAGGAGGAGGAGGAGGAGGAGGAGGAGGAGGAGGAGGAGGAGGAGGAGGAGAGGAGGAGGAGGAGGAGAGGAGGAGGAGGAGGAGGAGGAGGAGGAGGAGGAGGAGGAGGAGGAGGAGGAGGAGGAGGAGGAGGAGGAGAGGAGGAGGAGGAGGAGGAGGAGGAGGAGAGGAGGAGGAGGAGGAGGAGGGAGGGGGCGGCGCCCCGTCGCGAAGGCGGCGGGGCTCCGCAGGAGCCCCTCGCGCGCCCCCTCGCGGGCCTCCTCTGCCCTCGGGGGAGGGCTCGGGGGACTTCGGGGGCGGTCCGAGGGTCTGCCGAGCCTCCCGAGGGGGGCCCGGCCCCTCCGCACTGCCCCCCATGATCGGGGGAGCGTAAGACCCGGGTTTGCCAGGACTCGGGTTCGCCATCGGTTTTTGACGACCGCGCTTCGGATTCTGACGAGGAGGAGTTTCGTGGGATGTCTGCAGCGGGAGGCCTCGTCAAAATGCAGGCTCGGCCTCGTTGTTTTTTTGACGACCTCGTCGGGGATTTCCGAGTCCCCTGTACCCAGGTCTTACGTCCCCCTGACATGAGCTCGCCGCCCATCATGCCAAGAAGAAGAAGAAGAAGACGAAGAATAACCATCAGCCCCCGCCAGCCATCGACTCCCCTGAATCGAATGGGAGGCGGGGATTAGGGTTTGGACTTCGCCACGTGTTCGGCGAATCCCGAACCCTACCCCCGCCGCCCATCGAGCTGCTTGGATTCTTGATCGGCGAGGGAAACGGCTCAAACACAAGCTTTCGGAGTTCCGCGCGGGATTTCTGGGATCGGCGCTAGGCCAGCGGCGCTGGTGGCGCGCCCAGAGGCCGATCCAAGAAATCCGCCCGGATCTTTGAAAGTTTGTATTCTGCATTTTTGCTGGCGGCGAGTCCGAACCCGACTCGATGGGTGGCGGGGTTAACGTTTGGAATTCGTGGAACACGTGTGGAAATCCGATCCCTACTCCCGCACCCCCTTCATTGAGGAGAACCGATGGATGGTGTGGGTATGTTTCGGATGTCACCACCTAATCCTTCTCTTGCTCTACCTAAGGAGCCCATGGCCGAACCAGTCAGTGTGGACCCACTTGCACCCAGGCGCCCCCCACCGTCGCCCGACCTCGGCAAAAGACCGGTGGGGTAATCGCACAACCCTTCAGTGCAAACACCGTTATTGGGAAACGCCCGTGGATGTCTTCGGTAGCAAGTCATCGGAGCCTTGTACACCCTCGCAACTCTGCTTTAGGAAGCATTCGCGCCGATTAGCCTCTGGTAGTCGATGAGATATCATCGATTATCATCGATTAGCGTCGATTAGCCGACAAGATGGTATGGGAGGCTTCCATGCACTACCACAGAAGATGTCGAAGACAGTGCCCCTCGCCTCTGTTTGGTCTACTCGGTCGCAAGTATGGCCCCCCTTCCGAGAAGCAGCAGGGAATGGTAATGACACGTTCATGAATTTCCAGGATCCCCTAGATCTCCAAAAGTTCCACGCGGGCTGCAGAAGCGAGGACCGCTAGATGCAGATATTCGGGCAGTTCTTAACGTTTCATGGGCCGATCTCATGGTGACGCTATTCTCGTCGTACCCCTGGCCCTCAGACGGGGCCAAGCCACCACGGCGCTGACCGTGGACCTGGTGCACTACGGCCCGGAGTTCGGGGAGCTGGCGGCGGAGCTGGTGGCCGAGGAGTTGGGGCTCGGGTGAGCCGCGAGGGCCCCCGCCGCCACGGGCACCCAGCGAGCCCCCCCTCGCCCGTGAAAGGGCCTTGTGCACGGCAGAGCCGTTTTTTTTTTTTTTTTTTTTTTTTTTTTTTTTTTTTTTTTTTTTTTTTTTTTTTTTTTTTTTTTTCTGTTTGTTTGTGTGGTTTTCTTTGAATTGTTTTTCCCTGTCTCTCGGATTGCGGTTGTTCAGTTTGAAGAGGCGAGCTCCTGACCCGCCAACCCTGAATACCGCGGCCGCCAGATCCCCAGCTTCACCCAGCATCCTGAATGTCCCGCTCCCCGCCTCGCCTATTTCTGCCACTGTTATTTTACCAACTATTTGCACCAGTACTGTTACCACTACTGCTATTACCACTACCACTACTGCTATCACCACTTACCGCGTCCACGTACCACAAGGTATTGATACTGAGGAGGGTATCACATATGAGCGCACACCAACAAATTATACAGGTCGATATAACATAATCATGCATCCGACACTTGAGTTGGAGCACATAGTTGAAGAGAACACATCATCCTTATAACATAGCCAGGCATACCATCACACATCATCGTATACATCTCACCCCACACGAGCACCCTTCGGGTGATAAGGAGGTTTGGTGGGGAGCAGCCACCGTCTCAATCGGTCCCACTATTGATCTTACTATCGATCTCACTATCGATCTCACTAACGCTCCCACTATCGATTTCACAATCGATCTCACCATGGATCTCGCAGTCGATTTCATTATGGATCTCACTGCCGATACCACTATGGGTCTCACCATCGATTTCACAATCGATCTCACTATCCTTCTCACTAACGATCTCACTATCAATCTCAAATCTCACTATAGATCTGACTATCGATCTCACTATCCTTCTCACCAACGATCTCACTATCAATCTCACATCTCACTATAGATCTTACTATCGATCTCACTGTCGATCTCACCATCGATCTCACTACGAGTCTCACTACGAGACACCGACGGGACACCGACGGGACACTGGCGGGACTCCGGCGGGACACCCGCGTGCCAACCTCTGGCCATCGCGGGACAACCCTGGGGGGCGGTCTTTTGGCCCGGTGGCGCTTTAGCCAGAGGAGGATGCATTCCTTTCGCCCACACACGCAGCTTCGCCTCGCCCGCACGCAGTACACGAACACGAAATCGAAAGCGATTTCATGTTGGGGGGCTCTCCGTTTCACTGCGATCTCACCCTCCAACCACCAGCAATCCAACAGAACCCAGTTGAACATTACACACACACCACACATATATATATATATATATATAGATATCGAGATATTTCATATGTGTATATATATATATAGATGTTTTTATGTACATTCGGGGGCGGAGAAGAGGGGGGTGATGGCCAGGGGGGGATATCATGGCGGGGGTCATGATATTTCCCCAGATGTCATGCCGCCTCTTCTTATTTCATCACGTCTCTGGCCACCCCGCTGGGCCGCGCACATGCCGCCTGTCATGATTTGCCCCCCCCCCCCCCCCCCCTTGGACACCCCGCTCTTGGCCGCTCCCGATATATGCTTATAGACATGTATGTGAGGGAGCATCGAATATCGAAGACGCCTACGGCGAATCACCGCCGCCCCCTGCCTTTTGGAATCGCCCATGTGGCCGCGCGTTGTGGCAAGGGCTCTGCCAAGCTATCGGACCATTTGTTTCCCCAACCGTTGTGGAAGCCCATGGGGAACACTTGGGGGAGGATGGCGGCGAAGATTAGGAGGAGGAGGAGGATCTCAAGGAGGAGGAGGAGGAGGAGGAGGAGGAGGAGGAGGAAGGAGGAGGGGGCATCTTGGGAGCCTCTGGGGGCACTCTTGGGGCCTCCTGGGAGCTTCCTGTGAACCTCTTGGGGGCATCTTGGCGGCCTCGTTGGGCCTCTTGGGGGTCTTTGGGGGCATCTCGGGGGCCTCTTCGACCGTCTTAGGGCGTTCCTGGCCCGCCTGACCGCGTCGGAAGCCGTCTTGGGGACCTCTCTGGGCCGTCTTGGGGCCCTCTTGGAGGGCTCCAGGGTTGTCTTGGAGGCCGTCTTGGGCGTTTTGGAGGCCTCTTGGGCCGTCTTGGGGCCTTCTTGGGATCGTCTTGGGGGCCTCTTGGGCCGTTTGGGGGGCCTTCCTGGATGCCCTTTTGGAGGCTTCCAGGGCCGCCTTAGAGACCTCTTGGGGTCCTTTTGGGCCGTCGTGGCCATCTGAGAGCCATCTTGGGCCGTCTAGGTGGCTTCTTGGGCGGACTTGCATTGGAGGCATCTCGGACCCTCTTGGGCCGTTTTGGAGGCCATCTTGGATCATTTTGAGCGAGCGTGGAGGCCATCTTGGCAATTTTGGAAGCCATTTTGGGCCATCTTGAAGCCATCTGGACTGGGAGGATGTTTGCAGCGAGGTCTTCCGGGTGACTGGCGGGACGCGCCGAAGCCCCAGGGGAAAGTTCTTGTGGAAAAGAAGTGAGGTTCAGAATGCCAGCCCTTCTCGCCACCGTGGCTGGGTTGTGGGCTCGGGCCCTCTTCGGGCCCGAACAAATCGTGCGACAAGCCGCGACGGGCAGCGAGTAGCCCCAGCGGAACAGCGCCAAGCCCTGGGAGATTTGAGAATTTGGGGTCGGGTTTCTGAAGTACTCTCCAGGAGTGAGGACTGAGGCTTCGAGGCTTGGGCCCAGGACATGAAGGCACGCCCACTCCGTTCTCAGCGGGCGGCACGGTGGCGGATTACACCTCAGCGCAGCATAGCATGTTACAGAATGTGGCCGCAGAGAATCGCAAATGCTGACATAGTCGTAGATGATACGTAGCACCCCGCAGATGCGGATGAGAGTGAGGGGGCGGTGGGGACGTCGGCAGTTTGCGAGACTCTGGAGAAGCCCGCCGCAGGCGGAGGGGTCCCGCCGCAGGCGCCGATTTTTTCGTCAAACCAATGTGGGTAGGTCGCGGCTGGGTCGCAAATGGGTCGCGGGTGGGTCGCGGGTGGGTCGCTGTTCGGTCGTGGGTGGGTCGCGGGTGGGTCGCGGGTGTAGAGGGCAGAAAATCCACCCCATAATAATCACCCCGGCAAGCGAAGCCGTTGAGCAAACGCACACGAGGAATGAATCGAACATGGCATGGCTTTTTAGTCAGCGCCCAGGGCCGTTTTGTGAATGCCAATTGTTGGGTCTGGGTGGTTTTTCCTCCCTTGAGGGTGGGTTGTGGGGTGGGTCGCGGGGGGTCGCGGGGTGGGTCGCGGGTGGGTCGCGGCTGGGACGCGGGGTGGGTCGCGGGTGGGTCGCGGGCGGGGTGGGTCGCAGGTGGGTCGATGGTGGGTCGCGGGTGGGTCGCGGGGTGGGTCGCGGGTGGGTCGCGGGTGGGTCGCGGGTGGGTCGCGGGGTGGGTCGCGGGGTGGGTCGCGGGGGTGGGTCGCAGGGTGGGTCGCGGGGTGGGTCGCGGGTGAGTCGCGGGTGGGACGACGATCACAATCAACAAAAAACACCAACAACACCAACAACACCAATAACAACAGCAACAACAATAACAGCAGCAACAACAACAACAACACCAACAACAACACCAACAACACCAGCAACACCAACAATAACAATAACAACAACAACAACAGCAACCATTTTAAGACTGTTCGCCCTTATCTGCTCGAGTGTCCAATACCGCGTATTTCCCAAACCCTCGATACCCGCCCTCTTTGTCTTCGATCGAACCCCTTTTGGGGGGTATACCTTTCTTCCCTGCAGGCCGGGCCCCGGCAAGCGGCGGGGCGACCGCGGACCGTCGGCCTGGCCAGCGTCAGCGCTGATCGGCGGGTCGGCCGCGGACCGTCGACCCGACCCCAAGAGGGACGGACAGGGGACCGACCACGACGACGACGACGACGACGACGACGACGACGACGACGACGACGACGACGACGACGACGACGACGACGACGACGACGACGACGACGACGACGACGACGACGACGACGACGACGACGACGACGACGACGGCGGCGGCGGCGGCGGCGGCGGCGGCGGCGGCGGCGGCGGCGGCGGCGGCGGCGGCGGCGGCGGCGACGGCGACGACGACGACGACGACGACGGCGAGCGAAAGCGAGAGCGAGAGAGAACGACAGCAGGGCCATGAAGGATACGAAGTAGGCCACGAAGGGCGACAGCGAGGACACGAAGGGAATGCGTATGGGGCCACGAAGAACGCGAACGAGCGGGGGGCACGAAAGGCAATCATGCGGGGCCACAGAAGGCAACGACGGGGCCACTGAGGGTAGCAACTGGGCCACGTAGGACAGTGAGGGGGCCACAAGCGGCGACATCGGGGCCACGAAGGGCATGCACATGGGGCCACAGCGGGCGCGAACGAGAGGGGGTTACGAAGGGCATGCGTATTTGGGGCCGCGGAGGGCAAGGACGGGACCAATGAGGGCAGCAACGGGGCCACGAAGGGCAGCGAGGGGGCCACGAAGGGCGACGGCGGGGCCACGAAAGGCATGCATATGTGGCCGCTGCGGGCGCGAGCGAGCGGGGGCCACGAAAGGCATGCATATATGGGGCCACGAAGGGCAGCGAGGGGGCCACGAGGGGCTGCAACGGGGCCGCGAAGGGGAGCGAGGGGGCCACGAAGGGCTGCAACGGGGCCACGAATGGCAGCGAGGGGGCCACCAAGGGGTGCAACGGGGCAACGAAACAAAGCGATGGGGGCCACGAAGGGCTGCAACGGGGCCACGAAGGGCAGCGAGGAGGCCACGAGGGGCTGCAACGGGGCCACGAAGGGGAGCGAGGGGGTCACGAAGGGCTGCAACGGGGCCACGAAACAAAGCGAAGGGGCCACGCAGGATTACAACGGGGCCACGAAGGGCAGCGATATCACGAATCCTAGGTAATCTGTGAGGGTGTCCTAAGCTTTAGCGTGAGCGCGACTCCTGGGTGCCTGGGTGTCGGGAGCGCGGCGCTTGAGCAACTTGCACGAAATTCCAACGCAAGGGCGCTATTCGTCAGTTAATTGCAAGCAAGTCCCCAGCGAGAGCGCGACACCAGAGCGCTGGGAGAGCGATCCCTCAATGAACTGTAAGAAGTCCCAAGCGAGAGCGCGGTTCCGGAATAAAATGCGAGGAAGTCTCGGACGGGAGCGGGGCTCTTGGCTAATTTGTGAGGAAGTCTCAGGCGGGAGCCGTTGTTGTTGTAACCCGGGGGCCAAGGGTGCAGTTTGAGCATCAAGACATTCCATGTCAAAAAAAAGGGTGCG